AACTTCTGGGTTAAACATTTAATGTAAAATTCCATATTTGACCCAAAGTTGGGTTGAAACAACCCAGCATTTTTTAGAGTGTAACATTTGATGGTTCCCATTGTTTGAATTTGGACGCTCGCCTACGACTCACCCCAATCTGCAGTCCATTGAGTACACCTGGCGCTGTTCAGACGCTCCTTTAAAGGAGATTACTAGCAGAGACAAAGGAGGCTTGGTATATGATGGTACATTGTTATATACTGTATGTGTACACATAAGACATGATGTTTATTCATGATTTGTAACATTTGTAATATTTGCATCGTTTTATATTAGTACTGTTTGTTTTTTCTCATGCATTTTTAAGGAAGCACTGACTTAGCCCTTGAATTCTCAGAGGAAAAACGCCCCTGTCAGTGCTGCAAAGACAAGTTAATCAGAAGCTAAAGCAGAAGTGAAAGAGTAGAAATGTGAAATAGAGAATTCTTTTCTTTTAGTCAAATATATTTATGGTTGTGGTTTTTAAAAGAGCTGTCTTCAGCAGTTTAAGGTCAAGTCAAGTCAAGTCACCTTTATTTATATAGCGCTTTTAACAATACAAACTATTTTAGAATATGAATGCAGATTACATATATATTTTTAACCCTATACTCAATTTTTCGAAAAACAGCTGTTATTTTTTTCACTAATTAGTGTTGTTATAGTCGAGGATCTGCCTATATTATAGTCTATATTTTCAATTCAATTCATTGTGATTTGACAAAAAGGTCAAGATGTTTGCATCACTGGATACATAACTGATTTTTATCAACCAGTTCGCAAATATTAAATGTTCAGTTACTTGCATCTTTACCTCGCTCTCATTTTAACCTTTAAAATGGAAGTGTCGTGCTGGAATCTCCACTCTTTGATTTGATTGGCCACCTCAAAGATTTTGACATTGATGAGGGCTGTTAGAACACTGAGGCAGACCAGTCCAACAATATAACCTTTAAAACAAACAGAGAGGTGTGTCAAGAAGTACAGCAGAGCAGCATCAAGAATATCAAATATTGAGGGGGACAGTTTGGCCATATCTAATTATCAGGGGAGGACTAGTCCCTCAATGTGGTTACGGCCCTGCTGTGATCAACACCAAACAGGACGAAAACACACAAACATCAAGTAATACACTCCACATTAGAAATAATGTTTTAAATTGGTCTTTGTAAGTAATCCACCTTTGTCTTTAGACAATAAACAGCCATTTAGAGAGTATGTTGTTTATAATGACAAACATCTCTAATTGTCATACGATAACATATTAACAAGTAAATTCCATGGAAAATAATTATATGTGTAACGGAGGCCAGCTGGTAAGAGCCAGCTGGTAAGAGTAAACCGTGTCAGACAAATCTCAAGAGGGATGCTAGAGACTGCGGTCTTTAGCGTCCTTGTTAGCGTGCCCACCTCCCATGCTGGAAGCGTTGGTTCAAATTCTGCTCGGAGCAAGAATGAGGAGAATAGAACCGGAGGGGTTACACATGACAATACACTTCATAAGAAAGCAGAAACTCTGACATGTTTCTAGAAAAATATTCAAAACTCCAACACTTCTCTCTCTCTCTCTCTAGTAATGCTTGTAACAGAGTTTGTAATAGATCACACAATTCTCTAACAACAGTACAAATTACAGTAATTCTTTAGAATTGGAATTAGTGATATTATTGTCAAAGGACATAAGTGTGTGAAACATAAACATATAAATCGGAAGAAAAACACTTCAGCCAACACTTTGCATCTGATTAAACGTACCTGATCCAACTAATCAGGTCCTTCAGGCTTATTTGAAAACTGCAGGGCATGTGTGTTGGAACTAAACTCTGCAGGGCTGCGGCCCTCTAGAAACTAAGTGGAATAAATCTGTTCTCTGGGCCGGAGGAAATGCTGTAGGTTTACTAATGGTTATTGACCATTTTATTCAGACACCAGCATCAGCATAATAGGGTGAATTAGGGCAATCTGGGACACTTTGCACTTGTATGTAAAAAAAATAATTAATTATAAAATTAAAGTAGCATACTGTCAGAAACAATCAGAAACTAGTCGATCACAATCACAACTGTTTCCATAAAATAATGGCATTAATAACACAACAAGATGGGATTAACACTATTTCTCACAAATCCCTTTTATCAGAGCATTGGAGATCATTCCAGTTCAGGATGATATCTGAGGCCATCAGTTCAATACGGTTCTCATTCCTGCCTACCTTATTTGGCTCTTCTACAAACCAAAACCTGTATAACGTGTTAAAAGTAAACTTGTCACAGAAGCTACAGCAAAAGTGAAGGTGCAGAAAAGTAAAGTTTTGTTTTGATTTTGGTGTGTGTGGAAGAGTTGTGTCTTCAGCTTGTGATGGTCTCGTTTTTTAAAATGAGATTATGAGGAAAAACACTAAAACAAATAAATCCATAGTGGTTTTCTGTGAATGTTTTATTGCCCTTGAGTTTATTATAGCAATAAAAAAGAATTACATTTTTACATTTTCCATTCATATGAATATCCACTACTTTGAAGCAAAACCACAAAAAGGTGGGATGAACCCTATTTCTCACAAAACCCTTTTCTCTTTTGTGAGCATGGCAGATCATTCCAGTTGTTCAGGACGGGATTTGAAGGCATCAGTTCAATACAGTCCTCATCTCCGTCTTGGTTATTCGGCTCACCATTGAGCCAAAACCTGAACAACATGTATCAGATTTTCTATTAATCAACAACAAAACTAAAAAGAAAAAAGTTGTACAAAGTACAGTAGCACAATTACCCTGGTTTCAGTGTTGAATTATCCACCCATTTCATGATGCCCTCGTTCTCTGTGTCAGACAAACCAATCCACACTCTGTCCTTGATGAATGAAGATATGAACCTCTGTGTGAATAAAAACAGGAATAAGTGTGATTCTCTCATTCATTAACAGACACTCACACAAACTCACCTGCTTCTCTTCAGAGTTGATAATGACCAGATCAGCACCACGATCCCTGCAGTACTGTCTGCTGTCAGACCAGCTCTTCAACTCAGTGGACACGAAAAAACAAACTGGACCACACAGATTTCCTAATCAATATACAACAACAACAATAATGATAATAATAATAATAAACTCTATGCATAAAGACAACGAGAAGTATAGAACACAACACAAAGTCAAATTTGTACTCACTCTGTTTAGATTCTTCTTTCTTAAGTTCGTCACTCAGAGACGTTACTCTGCTTTCCAGCTCCAGTTTCTTCTGATTCAAAGAGCTGAAGTTGCTCTGTAACTGGTTCTTCTCAGCAGTGAGATCTTTGACTCTGGTCTCCAGCTCCAGGTTCTTCCGTGTTGAATCCGTGTAGTTGTCCTGTAAGCTGTTGATGGTTTGATTGAACTCTTCAGCTGTGTTCTTGTAACTCTTTATCAGGTCTCTCTCTGCTGTGATGGTGATGTGCTGCAGTATGATGAAGACCAGCAGAAGAACACAAATGAGCCCGAGACCCACTGTGATCCACACCAAACATCTACTTCCTCCTGACAAACACCACCAAAACACACACATATTAATAACAATTTACTGCATATTATTTAGGTATAATGTTTCAAATCAACCTTAAGTAGTTTATCTTGGTTGGTAGGTAAATGATAAGGCTCTTGAAAGAGTATGTTCTTTTATAATGACAAACATATGGAATTAACGTAAACGTAAAACATACTGTATACAGTAAAATAAATACGCAAACAAGAATATATGCTGAAAATGTAAACAGAAAATAATGGTTTCTAAGAAAACAATGATTGATCGCTCAAACATTAGCGATACCATCTGCGACACCGCCTTTGCTTCAAACTAACCTTTCTGCTTACTTTGCGTTCGAGCTTTTCCTTCATCCTGGCAGCGACTCTGTGTTCGAGGTCCAGATCTGTTATTAATATTTCTGCATACATAAAAGGTCCCAGTGAGTGACAACAGGGTATATTCATTTTCTCAGAAGGTGTCACTGTTCTGCCATTTTTCACTAAGAAGGTATAAATACATTTCAGAATTTCAGCAGATCCCATTATTTCCTGGAAACTCGTAAGGTCCGGTGAGAATATGCTAGTCTCACGAGAACTGACGTTTGTTTACAGGAGCAAAGTTTCCTTACTTTAGCAAAGGAAAACCAGCCGCCTCTTGGCTTATATCGAAATCCTCTGACATTTTTCTTTACGAATCTTCATTTTTGTACTTCTAATTCATGACCAGTGTTTTGTTTTGCTCTCTCTGCTGCGTTTCCGCATTCATCACTTCTCACCGGACCTTACGCTACGTCGTACGTCATCCGCCAAAATGAATGCACATACGACAGTTAGCTGAAGCTAGAGATTACCATTTATAAAGTTTTAAATATTGATATTTTTCTTACAAAAACACATCGATTCGCTACAGGAGGCCTTTATTAACCCCCCGGAGCCGTGTGGATCACTTTTTATGATGGATGGATGCGCTTTATGGGACTTCTTTTGGACTATTGACAAAAAACACCCATTCACTGCCATTATAAAGCTTGGAAGAGCCAGGATATTTTTTATTATAACTCTGATTGAATTCGTCTGAAAGAAGAAAGTCATGTACAAATAAGATGGCTTGAGGGTGAGTAAATAATGAGCTAATTTTCTTTTTTGGGTGAGCTATCCCTTTAAGCCAAAAT